GGCACAAGCTCCTTTAAAACGTTCCCTACTGAGAGGTATTTTGATTACGCGTCTGAGCTGCTATACTGAGCCCAGCTGAAAGCTCTTCCAAGTCACAAAGCAGCTGCTAGCCCAGAACCACCAGAGCACTGGCCCCAGCAGTCCTGACACGCATCTGCTCTGCCCTTTAACTCACCTGCAGGACAAACTTCTATCCACACTTTCTTAAAACCCCCTGGAGTCCCAGGTATGGAAAAAACAAATCGTTAACTAGCACGGAGATGTCCAGTGTTGGGGAAAATACTGCATCTTTAAGTGCTCGTGCGTTACTTCATTGTGTAGTGACATTTCTTTTCTCATCAGCAACTTTAGTGCTATCGGAAGGAGCTTTTTGGTAACCATTTTCTGAACACGACTTCAGCCAGCATTGCAATTAAAAGTGGAGGGAAAAGAAAAATATACATAGGATTTTATAATAATGACTGCAACAGAGCAACTTTATAGTTACTCAGTAAACTCTGACTGCATTCTAAAAATGTACCAATACAAATACTGTATTTCCTTAACGAAAAATATCCAGCAAGCCCCGTTCTCACCTAGGAGTACTATAGAGTAATACAGTATTTCAACTGACTCCATCATAACCTATACCCACGGTAAATTGGGCTTAAGACCCTAATTTTGTCAAGAAAGGCCAGTAACAACTGAGATTCACTGGGTGCAGAGTATTACTGCAAGTCAGGGACTACGTTCTCCCTTCTGCAACACGTAGCCAGACTAGAAACACCCCCCAGGAAAGGCCCACTACAGACATCCACACAAACCAAGGGGCCTGCAGATCTACTGTAACCAGCGCACCGTGTCCAGAGAAAGCCCGTGTTTACAGAGCGTAATCGCACTCGATGCAGTATTAAAGAACCACTGATAAACCCATCAGTGCAAACAAAGCCTTTGGCTACGGTTAGTGCCAAAACCATTTTTCTGAGTAGGGAGATAAAGAGGTATTTGTATAGCAGCAGCAGGCCATAAATAGACAGCATGTGTCCTTTGCAAATCCACATTTTGCTCTCCTCTAAAGAGCTTGTGGTAAATCAGCTGGCAGATTGCTGAGTCTGCTTCTGCACAGGATTCTGCTTGAGGCAGCCAAAAACAGCCTCTTCTGGCAACTGTTTCCCTTCTCTGCTCCGTGAACCTGACTGCACACTGCTCCCTTCAGCTGTCTCATTTGATTGACTTTTTGTATCTCCCCAAAAGCAGAAACTTGTCTAGTTTTTGTTTTTCTACTATGAGATTTAGCAGTTGCAATGCTGGCTAGAAGCAAATACTTTGTAAGAGACTCCTTACACGTGGCTGATGACTGCCATGAAGCAAATACTTTGTAAGAGTAAGAGCCACTCCTTACACGTGGCTGATGACTGCCAAAAATCACTGCACTGTTATATTTTAATTAAATTCTCAAATCCTTTTAAGTCTGCCTGTCACAGGACAGGTAATGGAACTCAGCTCCACTTCCCCGACTCTCTACCAAAACCGAGGAAATGCAGGCAAATGTTTGCTAACATCACACCACTTGCACGTCTGGACCCACCTATACGCACGACCTTCCTTCTCCTTGGAATGTCTCTTCAGCAGATGATTTCAGCACAACTTTACCGCCGTTCCCTGCGGCACCAAAGCCACACGGGGCAGCACAGAGCAGACTGGTTAATCCAGCAGTAACTGCAGCAGCAGCAGGAGGGTTTCCCTGCTGCTGCTCTGTGCCGCTCTGGCAGCCGCCCCGCGCGGGCAGCAGCAGAGGTTTCCTGCACAGCCACGCAGCAGGCAGGGCCGGAGCAGCCGGCCTCCCTCTGGAGCGCCGCACACACGGGCAGGTAAAGTCCGAGCGATGGTGCTGGAGCAGGGCTGCTCCTCAGAGCATTTCCCCTACAACCAAACGGCTCGTCTGCTCGGAACGCACGGAGCAAAGCTGCACGTGTAACGGGGCAGTTTTCTTCGCCAACTTTAAAAATGGTGAATCCTCATTTGTATCTTTCCAGAATGGTTTTGTTTTTCACTGAGTGATATCTGTACTGCAGCAAATTAACCAAATGACCCATGAAGGACACTGACACCATGAAATCAGGCACCTGAGCTCCAGCAATCCCATGCACTACTACAGGCTGGGGACCATTCCTAAAACGCTCTAAAAAAGTGGTTTCATCGGTTAAAAAAATTAAGACTGACCTGCCACAGGTATTTAAAACCACCCAACACCCTTTTTGTTACTGGAATGGACCACACCAAGACAGTTTACAAAAAGCCTGTATTAGGATCCTCTATATAGGAACTGAGGCTGTATTACACGTGAGTGAGACACTGGCCCAGAGTCTTAACTCATCCTGCCAAAGTCCAGCATTATTGTCTGAACACCTGTACTAGGTACACACCTGTACTAGGCGTCAAGAGAAGAAGATAAAATAACAGCTTTTTTTTTCAGAAGATCAGTCCAGATATGCAGTAAATATCAAAAAAAACTGCTATATAGCTTCATTTTAGAATCAGCTATAAATTCAAGGTTAAGCAAAGTTAAAGAGAAGTATCACTGTAGGCATGATTTGGATTGACGTAAGAACACAGTTACTGAACAGAAGAAAAAGTATTTATTTTAAAAGAATACTAAAACAGTCTAGAGCACTCTAAATCGTGTCATGAATACGAGCATTGTGTTACAAGCCAACATGCATTGTGTTACAAGCCAGCATGTGCACCGATAATTACAGTTGAAAGTCTTACCAATCAATAAGATAGATGTCTGGAGTCAGATTATTCTTTTTGAAGTGGGCAAATAACTTTGGCAGATTTTCTTCAAAGAATACCTCAAATGCGGCAAAGTAAGTCAACATCTGGGAAAATACAATAGGAAAAAGCAGCCAGCTCTATTATTAATAGGCTTAAAATACTATTTTTTGTTGAATTAATGTTTTTCAAAAATAGGATCGTATGAATTACACAATACCATAGAGAGCTAAATATCCACATAAAGGAAAGCATGTGCATGCACACAAGTGTTTAAGAAAAACTCTATACGTCCTTCTCATACTGAACGTTAAAATAATTGTTTTGGATCTTTACCATCTTATTTTGAAAAGAAAAGTATCAGAAGGAAAGAAGTTATTTGCTGATTACTCAAGATAATTATGATAAAGTGGTGCTTTATGTTTGTGGCAATAACCTAATACTATGCTGAATAAAATCCAAGGCCCGAGGGATTATAAAATGAAATCTGAAGCAAAAATAATTTAATAGTCCACAGTAAAAGTGAAGTGCCGAGTTGTTATTTAGTTAACTGATCATAAATCATACCCAAATGATGGAGCTTGTGTTACACAAGAAGTTTGACAAAGGGATAATACTCATTCTACTGAGAGAGACAAGAAAAGCCAAACATCAGGACAAATGAGCTGTGCAACACAGAAACACATTCTGACTCCAACCTGGTACCTTCACCCCTGAAGCAGGCCACTTTTAACATGAGGATCTTTAAGTTATTTTGAAATTTGCATATTTAGGACAAGTTCCATAAAAGAAGATAGGTAAAAAAGAAGAATTTTCCAAAAGCTAACAGCAAAAGACATTTTGGCTTCCTTCGGCTCTCAATCATCCTTATAGGATGGAAAGTTCAAAGTCTCTGAATGAGTGAGTAATTGTAATTATAATCAAGCAATTGAAACAATAAAGAATAGTTGTAATTTCCTCACATGTGAGTTTTATCAGCATGCTTCTCCTCAGGACTCCAGGACAGTAACGGGAGAGGAGTTAGGGAGAGAAAAATGAAGAAGTGTATGAAGCCTTTTTAATGGACAACACATGTGTTTCCTTTGCTTTTTCCTATGTCCTTCAGGAACATTGTCCTGTTTCATCTAAACAAAGTGACAGGTGGTGGACTATTTTCATAAGCAACAGTAAATAAGTAAAATAATAATTAAAAAGAGTAGCAGTCAATAAGGAGACTTAAAAGCCAAACAGATGGGCACGTGCTACAGAAGTAGCTCTGCAAAATCTCTGAACTCTCTCAAGAGATTTAGAGAGAGTTTCACAGTAAACAAACCCCGAAACCTAAAAACCTGCTTTAGAGAACCGTACGACTGAAAACTTCTCAATTTGTATTTTTAAATACATGAAATTCAGCATCATGTGAGAACTGTAAGGATAAAGGAAGCAGATAATGCAACGATCCCACTTTCTAAATGATCTAAATGTTTGGATGCTAATACCCCAGTAAAAGATTTCTACTAAAGCTTTTCAAATCTACTTTGGAGAACGTAGTTTACACATAATTGCTACAGTCACCTCTACTGAAAGCAATGCAGGCAATTCTATCAAAAATGCAATGGCAGTTCTGGTATTTACCTTTATCAACATTCACTAAGGCATTTATTTAGTAGCAATTACATCTTTTCTACTTTGATAATACTGTGACCAATAAAAAGCAATCAAGAGAAATTGGTATATATTACTATCATTTCAGCAACTCTTACACTGTTTTTACATTTTATACTCTTTTTACCTAGATCATTTTCTTTGCCTTAAGACAAATCAGTACATGATTTTAAAGTTGTAAAATTTTCACAAAAAGATTAGGGTACAGAGCAGATCAGCAGTTTTTTAACCACAATATATATATATATATTTTCAATTTTTCTCATCACTCTATTTGAAGTACTGGGTACAAAGCTCTCCTTGTGATGCAGATCACGACTTTCATTACTCCTGAAAGCATCTTTGCAGGGACGGTGTTTGCACACTGCATGCATGAGCGTGTGCTCTTTTTCTGGGTTCAGAAACAGAGATGACTGACAGTGCCCCAGCAACGCTGCCTGAGCGCAGGATTCCCCGTCGGCATTTAGTACCGACGCATCCAAGGCCCGTAGCAGGGAATTGGATACTGCTTTTCCCACAGGAAATGCGCACAGGATCCTTAGCACCCTACTCTTTAAGCAACACAAGTAATCACAGCTCACACGATCTATTGCCCTACTTTATTTCTCCCGCTTGAACTCTTGGGAAACAGCTCCTATTTTCCTAGTGCTATAAGGTGAGCAATAAGAGAAAAAACAGAACGATGGATATTTTAAGAAAAAAATATTTTAAAAACTAAAATACACTGCAGGAGACTGCTTATTTTCCTATGGTGTACAAGTAGTCTGGTGACTACTCTGCATTTCAGAGAATCTAGAGAGAATCAAGCACCCAGCTCCCACTGAAATGTGAAGTGTTCAGCTCATCTTATTCCCCTAGGCTCCCTTTAAAACACAGCTGCTCCAGCAAGAGATGGGAAGCCCAATTCTTTCTCTAACAGCCCATTTTTAGCAACCTAGTACTTTGGGATATAAAGTACCTTCAGATCACTTTTTTTTTTTTTCCTAAAACCATTAAGCTGTTTAAATAAAGCTTTCAGCTAGAGTGCTCAAGCTCTCGAATTTAGAAACTACTGTAACTATTGTAACTCCTGTAACAGCTACCATAACTACACTGTAATTATTTTCTGACCATCATAAAATACTCAGTGGCTGAACAACTTCATTCATCTGCCCCTTCAAAAAAGGTTGGTGTGTCTGGTATCAGGGGTGTCTCTGTGTCTCTATTTTTAATTTTGATTATTTTATTAAGTGTAGTGTTTTAAAATAATTTCTCACTTTATCTCCAGGCTATTGAGACCATTATATTTTTTAACCTTTAACTACATAGATGTGCAATATAGAGACTGCAGTGTTCTTGCATACTTACAAGGCCATGGTCCACACGGAAAAACGCCATCTGACAGGGTTTATTCAAAAGGTTAGAAAAAGCAATGAAGGCATCTGCAGTATCCAAGTTCAAGATCAACACCGCTGCAATGAACGACATGCCCTGCACCTGCACAAAGAAGTGGTGTCACCATCCAGCAAGAAGGACCCTCTCCCAAGAGCCCTGCCTCATTCTGCCCTCGCAGCCACTGCTGCTCAGGGCACTCACTGGTGCTGCCAAGTGCTGTGAGTCTTTCAGAAAGTTAGGACTGAAGCCACGTGACCACTCAGCAGCAAATGCTCAGAACCTGGATGCTGGCGATCTGTATGTGAACTCTTTCCACAGTCCCAAAACTCCTACAAAAGGCCAGGATGACAGCACTTTCAAACAGGCAGAATATAGAGTTTTGACATTTCTTTGAGGAAAAACTTATATATTTTTTTTCCCCTAAAGATGGGTCAGATTGCTGTGTACAGCCCCGCTGTGGTAAAAAAAGGGAACTTAAAGTAACCAGAACTTGCTCAAGTCCTTTCACATCACTACTCTGAGGGAGCCTGCGCAGCCCGAGTGGCCGCTACTTTACAGAAAGTTCCCAAAGCCCAGATGGCCGAGGCACAGACAATCAAACCAAAAGAAAGGAGATCCTGAGTTTAACAGAACCGTCTTGGTAAGGCTATCATTAAGAACAGGGCATGCTTCTGAGGAGCCATTTAAAAACATCTTTTCTTCAATTCCAATTTTCAGGCAGAAAAAAAAGACATTTTAGAGTTGTCCAAAAGCTTAACCTAATAAAAAGTTTAAATCTAGCAACAGAACCATTATTATATATAATTAGATACAACTCTCAAGCATGTACTGGGATAGAAGAAAGCATACAGAAAAACCCACAAGCATTCACAAAATCATCTTATACCGGTCTATGAAGGACAGGCTAACACAATCTTCTGTACCCTTTTTCTCCCTTCCCACCCTCAGAAGAAAACTCTTGACTTACGTAGCCTACATCAGGTCTGTAACAAGTATAGGCTCCTAAAATACTGTGCAGCATGTCATGGTAAGGACCACCCTGTAATCGAACAGAAACAAGATAATACATCTGAGCACAAACAACTTCAGTGCTACAGACATTATATTTTACTTACGACGAAATATCTGTTATTACAGAGCTTTCAACACCTCCAACTCTCAAAATACTCTTTAGCTTTAAGAGCATGAAACAACAATCCATATCGCATTTACTACAGACACACACAGCTCACCCAATAAAGTAGTTGCATATTAAATTCACATACAAGAGGGATGTAAACATAAGAAATTCATTATAGCTCAGTTGCATTTTGGCAATAGTACCATGAAAACAGAACACTAATAAAAATCTATTAGAGAGTCATTCATGAAGAAAACAGTTAAAAAACTGCCAACATACACCCACCATGTCCAGCATATCTATAAATAAAAAGAACTCACTCAAAGAGGCTTTATCTTACACTGGTGACTACAACTGGCTGAGGACTTCCAAAGCAAGGTTTTCACCTACAAATGCTGGGTCAACACAACCTAAATGTTTTATAGGCATGCTGAAATCTAGGTATAGTAAGACAAAATGTCTGATCAAAATGAGCACATCATTAAATGCAAAGATTTTCCGTGGAACTCGCTATGGCTGCGTTCCCTTTCACTTAGTGCTTGCAACTCAGCAATGCTGCTTCATTACTTGGAAACATTGCCCTGCTCCCCTTCAGCAGGCCGAAAGCAGCATCGACTGGGCGGGATGAATCAGCTTGTGCCAATCTGCCAGGCTGGCGTCTTACTCAGCCAAACGTCCTGCACCTTGGGTTCACTGGGTGACTTACAGTTTTCCAGATTTTTTTAGGAACTTCCTCAAGAAGTCTTCCTCCTTCAGATGAACTCAACAGGCTGTTTCAACCGCGGGACAGAAAGAAAGTATAAACCTAACTTTGCTGAGAAGTAAGGGTAAAAGTCAGCAATGCTTACCTGCTGGAAAATACAGAGATTAGGAAACGTTCTTGAGATATCCAGTTTTATCAACTCCAAACTTGCTTCTCTGTCAGCTGCAGAAAACCCAGCATCTGTAAAATCAAAAGTTACTGCATTAATTAAATGGATCAAACATTAATTAAGAAAAAAAAATCTCTAAGCACACTGCATATAGATTATGCACTAAGAGGGAAGGAGAAAAGGGAAAAGCAAGGCAGGGCCAGGCACTTCCTGAGTATCATTTTGACAAACCAGCAGACAAGCCTGTGAAGCAGTACCCCTTACTCATAACAAGGCTGCTCAGGGGCTCCTGAACTAGCAGCCCGTGCGGAAAGGTTCGCGTCGGGGAGAGAAGGTCTAAACTAGAACCCTGTGATGGGCGTTGCCTATCCCTACACTACTGTCACTTTTCCTTTAAAATATCATCACATTTACTGTTTACTGGTGAAGATTACAGTCACTGCAAATTCATTTCTGTTAGTTACAGAGAATGTATCTATTTCTAAAGCATTCATTTTCATTCCAACATCCAAAAAATTTCTTTCTACTTTGTCCGTGCTTATTGGTATGGTGAAGAACTATCTAATGCTACTTATTGAAGTAATGGGTCAAGAGCTGTCATTAGCAGATGCTTACACCACTCACATAAGGATGTTTACTCCAGAAAAGAAAAGTGCAAGGGGAAGCTAAAAGCAAACCAGAAGCACTGGTCACTTATTTAAGATACAGAGAATCTTAAGAAAATGAAGTATTGGTTCTCCAATCAGAACCATTTTTCTTTATTGATAAATGCCAGTATATATGTTCCTCTTTTTCTGCTAAGCCTAATTATTTACCATAGGCAAACTCAAGCATCTACATATAGTATTATACTCTAAGAGACATCTTTTCCCATCAACTAGAAGAATCATGAAGAGCTGAGTCTACAACAACAGCCTGCTGCTGAGACACACTGCAGAGATGGACTCAACGCTGCGCGGAGACACTGAGGTGCAACTTACTGCTACAATTTCAGTTTTAATTCCAGAACTACAGAGAGGGCAAGACAGGAAAATATCTTAGTGTTACAAATCTCCCAAACTTTCCTGTTCTTCCTACAAATTAACATTAAGAACCATACACAGAGATAGTTCATAAAGAAAAAACAAGTATAGTGTACCAGAGACTGCAGTTTCATTATGAAGTAAAATGACAGTTTTTCTTCTTGTTTCCGAGGAAGTTTTCTTTTTATTGAACTCTTTAAAAATCTTTCAGAAGATACGAAATGACACATTTTTGTAGCATAAGATTTTACAAAATCTCCTGTTTTGCAACTCAGGCTAAGTCATTCAATAGCAGCTTACCCTCACACTCCACGTCGGCCCCTCCTGTGCTAAGTGATCGCCATTTCTCTTTTGCACGAGCCAGGCATATATCATAGAGCTCTGGAAAAATAAAAGGAAGAGAAAAGCCACGTCTATCTCTCGCACGTGCATGTGCCCACCAACAGTTACTAATTACCTGCCACACTAACAAGGCTGCTCCAATCATTACAAGTAACAGTATCTCTAAAATACCAGCCGAATTTAACTAGGTTGTGACTGTGACAAACTTGTTCCACTGAACTATAACTTAAGACGGAGTGCAAAGGAAAGGCATATGTTATACAGGATGCTTGTGTATTTATTTTTCTTACATAACAGATGCATTCAAAATTGTTTTGTGAATGGACAACTGGGATAAGTCTATCGCATTCTGTGCAAGAATTACACGTAAAGCAACTAAAATAAACCTGGAAAGGCAGCACAACACAGCAGCTGGACAGTTAATCTACTCAATTTCCACTTTGAAATTATTTACGTATCACAGTAGTCTTTCATGGTCATATTTTTCTGTAGTCGGAGGCAGCACACTATTTCTGTTTACACTAGTATACATATAAGCAAAAGGACAAGTTTTTCCCGGGGTCTTTTAGTCTCTCACAAAAAGAATGTCTTGTTTAAAATAAAGAAAAACATAATATGCACATACCCATGCGCATTACAAAACTAACAACAACTGTAAGCAAGAAAAATAAATCTTATTTCTCATTTAAACTAAGTCATTAATTCTGACCATCTCCATTTAACATGAAAGTAAGACATGAAGAATCATTAACAACATACAGCAGCAGTCCTAGAACAGCTACAAGCTTAAAAGATTAAATATTTTTGAACAAAACACAAAAACATGACAAAAAAGTAGCGACCATCTCCCCCCAGTGACCCCTCAGGTTCGGAAGCACCACAACACCACAGGATCATTGCTCCCCTTGCCTCCCCTCTCTGCAGCGCGCGGAAGGTGGCCTCACCGTGGGTGATGTTGAGCTCGTTGCCGATGGCCAGGCTCCAGACCCTGCCGCGCACGCTCGGCGGAATGCCCTGCCACCACAGCTCCCGGACCTTCCGCGAGCAGCACCTGCTCCAACAAGAGATGCTCTGCTAAGAGATCATTTATTGCCAGCTGCATGGTCAACCTTCCTTCCTACTGCTGCAGAAGGCAGATTAGGATGCAGCCAATGGGCCGACAGGTCAAGAAAGGCTTCCGTATACCCCTCCTTAGTGCAGTTTTGCTTCTAACTGCAAAGCAGAGCTGCCTTCCCTCCAAAGGCAATGGCTTACACAGGAGCACTGCACTTGTCACGCACAGAAGCGACCATAATTTGCCACCATGCATGAGAAAGAAATAACTGTGGGGAACATGAACAAACAAATGAAAGAGATCCACGTCTATGCCACTGCACAAGCTAAAGGCTGCACAGACTCAATTCTCCATTTAAAATTAAGTATTGAAACAAGTCCATCCCCTCCTCTCATCCAACACCCTTCTGCACGAGTAAGACATGCAGTTTCCCTCCCAGCTTGCAGCTCTAACCCACAAACAAAATGCACGAAGCTGCAAGATTAGTAACTATTTTCAGGTGAGAGTATGAAAGACATTTTAACACAACACAGACCTCGAAAAAGCTTAAGGCTGATGTTTATCAACCTCTGGGTCCCAAAAGAACAAGTAGACAGCATCTGACCACCAATAAAAGCATGGGGCAGTAACTAAACTCACAGTGATCTATCTGAAAGCAGATTCTGAATTAAAAATGTAACATGGCATACAGAATACAGTGGGGAACTTGGGAATTTGTAAACTGACACAGGAAAAAAGCACCTGTTTTTATAACAGACACAACAGATGCATTTTCAAACACTAAAAACAGATGTATAGAACTACAATTTGTTTACTTTTTTCTTTTATACTATTTCAGTTTCCCAGATACGTATTTTCCAACAAATCATAGCCACATTCTTAACATATATTGTCAAGAAATTGAATTTCATCATTAAGCAAATTGCAGTTTTGAGCGCCAACAATTATTTTTGTGGTGGATTTCTTTGCTTGATATTTTGGGGGACTTTGTTTTCTTTAAGATTACTATAGATATCCCTGAAAAAAAAAAAAAAAAAAAAAGACAGTGAAGGTAGCTTCCTGATTATCTGAGCTATGCTTTTACAGAAAAAACTTTTAGATTTTTTGTTGTTTTTTTTTTTTTAAATATCTCTTTCTCTACTTTTATTTTCCATCACTTGATTATCCCAGCAGGTCCACACCACTCTAATTTAAGAGGCTTAATAATACCTGGCATGTATTTCCATTCAGTATTATATAATCGACAACTCAAGCAGTCAAGAAATCTGATTTCTGTAAGTGTGTGGTGTTCCAGCATTATACTTGCTGTTTTTTTTTTTTTTTAAAAGTCTTTTAACTTTCATTAAAGACACGTGAAAAGAATTAGAACTGCACTGCTCAGAGCAGCACTGCCTTCCTTCTTTCTGCAAGGAGGCTAATTTCTTTTATAGTGTCTGAAGTTGACTTTCAGTTGAAAGTTTCTCAAAAAAAAAAAAAAAACACTTGCTAATTTTATAAGTTTTCTTTAGGATGCAGACTTTGCATTTGCTATTAAAACTCAGTATAACATACTGTCTTACATAGTTTCCCAGTTGGGCAAGATTTCATTGTTCCAAGTTAAAACAGCATTGCCAATGCTGTCTTCCAGTTTACAGCGTTCTTCCAGTTGTTTCTTTCTCTTCTGGGCTTCTTTAAGCTCTGCAGAAAAACAATTTCCTTTTAAGTTGGTAAAACCAAAAATTAAGTACTTCAGAGCTAGCTATTCATGAGTATGTAGCCATATAAAAACCACATTATATACACCTACATCTACAGTGGCCTGTACAAACTGTAAAACTTTTCCAGACATTTAGATAATACACCACAAGCTTAACAGCAATGACAAGTGTGACAAAAGAACCAAGGGGAACATCACATTATGCTCATTTTAGATGGGATAGGACAAAGGAGAGGCTAATACTATACGGCTTCATTGACACTTTGAATCTAACCACAGTAGTAGCAACTTTCGATTAGTTGCTGCCAATACGAAACAAACCCAGTGACCTAGCAGAGCAGGTGACAGCGCTCCCTGAAAATGTCTGGTACCTTTCCACGAGGATCTGAAAAACATGGACTAAAACGATCAAAGTTTTGTTTGCTCTTTCTACACCATGATCTAGGTTTACTGTCAATAAATGACAAGAATCATGGTTCGGATGCTACACTCAGCATATTTTTAATATGCCATGCATCAAGAATACATATACTGCAAATTTTCAGTTCACTAAAAATAAAATTCTACCCTTGCTCCTGCATGGTATTTTGTTGAACAATTTTTATGTCTTTGCATTACCTTTCTGCATGCCCTCTCACATCCTCTACTGTTTTTTTCCACAGCCAGGTTTGCTAGACCACTACTGCGCAATTTAGCAAACACAGGCGGCCACTCCTTATAGCAGCATAGTGAAAACTGACAGAGGTCCTACAAGAAGGCAAAGCAAATGGCTAGGAAGACAGCCATGAAGGAGGCCCCTGGAATGACACACACAGCCTGGTGGCTCCCCTTCAAAGCTCCACGGAAGCTGTGCTGAGCAGAGTCATACGAGCTGTCTCCCAGCATTTGTCAGCTGTGACCCCAGCGCTCTGTGAGCTGCCTAAACGTGCACTTTGCGTTTTTCTCTAAACAAAAGAAGCCTTTACACTCGCTGCTTTCCTGCCCTCTGCACAATACATCACTCTGCAGAGCAGTTCATCTGGAGTGGCTTTAGGGGAAATGGGTTTGTCAGAGCATTTATCTGGAGAGAATGACATACTCCCTACAATGAAGTCGGAACAAGGCCCTGGCCCGCTGCCTGACCTGAGTGTCATTCCCTTTCTCTCAAGCCTTCTACCCTTTGGGCAAAGGATTTCCTCTGGACTGCTGCCCGCTATATGGATGCCGTGATAAGGGAATCGCATGAAGGGGGAATTGTAGACTTTACTGGTAGGCACATGATGTTCAAAACCACAATAAAATGCTTGAATCATCAACCACAGAAAGCCAGCGAGTCCTCTGTTGACATCATCTTTTCACCACCTCATACGGCTCAGAGGTCTGGCCAGCTAGAAAACATTTATTTCTGGAAGCTCTCATTGGACACAAGATTTTGAGTCCGAATTTCCTATTACTACAATGCCTGTTTTCATTAGAAAATCCAGATGGTCAAAAACATCTGCAGAAGGAATCCACTGCTAACTGCCAGCTCCACCTGATGTGCTGATGTGCACAGCAGCATTACTGAGCCAGTACTGGGAATCATGTCGGACAACGGATCACTAGCAAAGCCTTGGGAAAGATGCAAATTGTAAACAGGAGACAGATTATCATATGAATACACTACATTTTCCTCACTGGAATTGCAGCATCAGGAGATTGTTTGTGAAATAAAACTATCAAATATCCTGCAGTTATCAAAAAAAAAAAAAAAATGGTCGTAGCTAATTGGGACTCTTATATACTCGTATCTCATATCCAAATCAGCAAGCTTCTAAACTCACAGAGGGATGCCACTCTCTTTATTCTAAGAAATATCAGTAAGTGCATAAATAAGGTGTGGGGCCTTTTCCTTTATTAAATAAAACTACCGCTATCCTACTCTCTTTCCAGGACTGACCCTGTTAGGGGCAGTGGACCCCTCACGAAACACGACAACAAACCGACGAGTACAGTCAAAGCTTAGAAATATCCCTTCACTTCACTTCCCTCCTCTGAAGACAAGAAATTCCATCACCTCTTTTTTTTGCTTGAACCACCATTTCTTCGTACTGTTGTCTATGTTTCTGAGCTTCTTCTGCTGGTTTTGCAGGGAGGTTCCTTAAATTGAAAAAAGCAGTATTTAAAGTTTGGCATGCTTCTCAAGAAAACTCTAGATCCTTCTAAAAGAAAAGCATAATATTGTTTCTTATCAAAATATCTGATCAAGGCATGGTGCAACAGATTCTTGGAAAGATTTTTTTGCCAGTGTCAGCAGAAGGAAAGCAGCTATGCCTACTTTTATACACAGAATACGCTGAGTAATTTCCTTTTGTTTGGTAATTTCAGCATTTTTATTTTAATGAAACCAGTGGAACCCACAGACTAAACTTTATAAATAAATGGAAGGGAATGGTACATAGCAAGTTGGTAGTTTTGATTTGGACTCTTTACAGCTAAGAATACAAGAGCTTATCTTCTCTCGCTGCGCACCCCACAAGCAGCTACACCCACGACTGCCTTTACTCAGGCAGCAGTGACTCACGGTGCCAACTTCCTTTTCCTGCTGCTCCACAAAATCCCATTCCTATTCCCTCACTTCTAGCACAACAAGCGGCTCTGGAGTCAGCCTCTGTACTCACCATTTGCCAAGCCCAACAGAGCCATTTTGTTCTGGGATTTGGGATTAAAGCCCGGGCCGGCCGCATCTCTCCCAGGCAAACACACCTACTCATACACGGGAGCTCGCTACGTCTGTAATGAGCACAGCTGCAGGAGACCCAGAACAGCAGCACAGGAAGGAACCGAGTAATTCAGTCTTTACTGCCTTGTATTTCCAAGATGCCGTATATCTTCGGTTAATAAAAAAGATGCTAAATTTCACTTGCACATTCCTGTAAAGCCTCCCTAGCCTGTGCTGCCAACACGGTCAGCGTTACTAGCAGTATGCTTCACTATTTGCATAACCATATTATCTGCAAAGCACTGACAGCCCTGTGATATATGCCTATGAACATTTTTTAAAAATCAAGGCTGTTACAAGCAGGAGGACACTGTTTTTTCATATTAATGTCCTCTTTAACCATAGAGAATAATCTACTCTTTCAGTTTTAGTTATGTAAATTATCCAGATCCTTCTTTTTGTAAAATCAGGATCCTCAGAAATGGCATAAATGGCATGTGGAAAGCTTGGAATGGCAAAACTAAAGAAAACGTTTCAAGTTCTGTTAAGTTCCACTAGTTAAATTATTTGCCCTATCTCTTAATGAGATCATCATATACTTGAGATGACATTAAATATCTATGAAGATTTAAATAACACCTTTTCCTGTTAAAGGTAGAAAGGCTAAAGATTTTTCTCCCTTTTCTAGGAAGTTTCACCTAAGCTCAAAAAGTCGAATAATCTGCAGCAGCTATTCTGGACACATCTCTCCTTTTTTATTTTTTAAGTCTTAAATATTTCTGATAATTGAAGAAATTTCTTAAATCATAAGGAAAAAAAATCACCCTGCAAAATGAAATAATTAAAAAAAAAATCTTTGGAGACATTCATTTGATGACAGTACTCTTCAGAGCAGTTTCAAAAAACAAAAGAAATAATCAGACCAAAGAAATAATCATTCAATCTACAAACTTAAAAATATCCAATTTTTGATAGAGTTCTTTAGTCCATCAATACTAGAAAAAAATGTTATCCTGCAGCATATCTTTAATTCAAGCCATCTGAACACAGTCTTGTACACAAGCAATTGTTGTAATGAATAACCATTCCTTTGCTCCTCGACATATTCCAGGAAATCTTGTCATATATTTTTTTTTAATCAGTCAATGAAAAAGCATCCTAAATGACCCTGCAACCACATCAGCTTGACACGAGCGTTCTTCATACGGATCAGTAGTGTAAACACACACCTACATTATGCCAGCTTTTCATAGCAACACACGGCTATTTTAAAAGGCAGTGTTTTCTGTCCATGCCTGCAAAATTTGGTCCCATTCATAAACTGCTTAAACATGACTGAATTTGTTAAATTCAGGAGCAAATCATGGTAAAGCAGCCAGGCAGTCTTTCTGGGGTTAGCTTATTTATACAAAAACATGCTTGCAGTGACAGGGGAATGAAACATCTCATCAAGGGCTTGACAGCCTTCACAAGGGGATGCAGAACCCACTGCAGAACAATCATTACGTTGTTTTATTATTTATGGCAGTGTGCACTTTCTTTGTGTAGGCAGGACAGAGTATCCTTGTTTCTCAATCCCTTGATATTCCAGCTTCATTTTTATCTCTGTATTCTCTTGGGTGACAAAAAAATCACTCAAAATCATTCATGCTTGGAAGACAGATTTACTCACAACTTCTAAAAATAATTATCTCACCACTGGAGTTGTGAGTAAATCCCCCTAATTATCTCCTTTGCTCTATGGTCATTGCTTTTATTATAAAATTAAGTTACTTCTAAAAATAATTATCTTCATAATCATGTCACTTGCATATTCAGCAGTCAGAGAAAATGTTTGAAGTCACCTGTTTAATTAAGTTTTAGTGATCAAATGCTCACGTCAAGAAAGGGTTTGCTAGCCAAAGTTTAGGGGACTCCTCACTGGGGTGCTTCCCAGAACTTACGCTGGCCTGTCCTCTAAAATAAGCGCTGTCGTGGAGAGTGGTTCAAAATCAAGATTCTTCCTCACATTCTGTTTGGGAGAAAGTGGCCTGTGAGATCGTCCAGTTTTTTCTTCATATTCCTATTCGAGAAAAAGATAGGGCAGGTTACATCAATGGAGAAGACCAGGTTTAGATCGTTTTTCACACCAAACTATTTGCAGAAATAGCTAAAATTCCTCTGGCTGGAAGTATGCTTCTCATAACATACTGCTAAGAATGAGCTCTGAAACAGAAGACATGATCCGAGATATAAGACCCTTTTAAAATATTTTTGATTTACGTGGTTTTGCAATTGAAGCCAGAAACTACCACAGGCCTCGTCCTGAAATCTCACTGTAAGATTTCTCCTACTCAAGCTACTTGTAGATGCAGTGAAGTTCAATGAAGGCAAAGAAAGGTTAAATAGTGGTTAGACAGAAACCCTGTGCTTCTTAAGATGTCTTGAAGCAAATCTGCATCATAACAGAGCATAACACAATATCTGACCTTCACAATAGAGACACAGGCACCCTGGGGCAAGAGCCTCCAAGATGACAGGCACTGGAGCATACAGGGTACAGACAGCAAAAATCTTGCTCAGATGTAAGAGAAGAGGGTTTTGGAGGGGCCTGGGGGTAGTTGTAGAGAGCAGTAACAGGACTATAGAGCCTGAGACCACCTCTTCTTGAGGTGACAAAACGGGACAACAACGGACACAAACTGCTACGAAGGAAATTTGGTATCGGGAGCAAACAAACATACCAGGTCTCTGAAATAGGTTGCTGGAGAGAATGTGGCATCTTTAGCCTTGAAGGCGTTCGAAGCTCAAATGCACAGGGTCCTGAGGAGCTGATCTAAGTAGACCCTGCTCCAAGAGGGCAGTTGGACCCTCCGAGATCTTTCCTCCATAAATAACTCTATGATGAAGATTTAAATTTGAGGACAAAGCATAATACTTTTGATTTTCCTTCAAACATTGTTATGGGGGAAAATATACAGAACACAAACTAGTGGGGTAAAACAAACACACAGCTCTTCCCTGTGCCAAAGTGTGAAGCCCTGGAGCAACCATTTGGTACTCAAAGCACCAGCTAGACACCGACTAAGGCCATGGCCAAACCAATATAAAGTCACGTTACAGATATTTTCCACATTAAACTTCATCTTAAACTTTGTCGTGTCTGAAAACACCTGCTTTCATGTATGGCTTTTTTTAACAGCTCTTCTGTTAAAAAAAATACAATACTGTAAAAGCTGAGCACTATAAAGAGACCAGTAGATCTGAACCCCTAAAACAAGCAACAAAGCCTGGATCACCCAAAAATTAAAATTAAATCCTTACTATTCACGGAAAGGCATTTCCCTCTTCTCCCCCAATGTAAAAAAAAAAAAAAAAAAAAAAAAAAAAAAAAAAAAAAAAAAAAAAAAAAAACGGGGGGGGGCATCCACACCCAAATGCAGAGTTATAGAACATGACAGTGCTGTGTTTTCAGGCTGCACAGCCCAATTCCTTTCCAGTTTGAGCCCGTTCTCTGGACCAGCAGCTGCAGCTACGCAAGGCTCTTGGGACACAGCGGAATCATTTTCTTGCTTTATTAAGTGGGTACAGGCTCATCAAGCAAATCTACGACGCCTGCATTTCTGTGATGGGAAACACTCATAAATTTGGAAGTGAAGCTTGTTAATACCAGTTAACGCTTATGCCTCATACCAGTTTGAGACTAAGCAAAAGAACTGAGAAGCAGCGTATTTGAACTGCTGAATAGTATTTAGCTTTTACTATTGAAAGGAGAAAAGGCTCACACTGTCAGAGATCTTAAACAGGAAAAAATACATCCAGAAAAGAAATCCACAGAAATGCAGTAAGAGCTAAATGCTCTGCTTACATTAGCAACTCCTGGAAAGCAGCTGACAGTGTCCAGCCTGAGAGCTGCACCACTAACTGCGGGGTATATTCCTTGTCCTTAGGGACACAAAACCAAGGGGTGATCCTTCTCCCTATTTCTTTTAGGAGGCTGCTCTAGCTATTTTCTTTTTCTTACAAATTAACACAGTCAAATATTAACCCATCTTATTGCTTCAGCAGACAAGGTGAACCTTGTCCCTAAATCCAATGGTTTTACTCCTTTGAGATATTATTAGTGGAGAAAACAAACAAACAAACAAACAAGCTGACATCCCAAGAAACTAATATGCAAAAAGCACACTCCAAGTATCATAGAAAAAAAAAAACACACAAAAACACAGAAAGATATGGTAAAACACGATTTTTTCAGCCCAGTACTAAGCATAGCATTCTTCCATGAATTTCTTGACTTAAAAGGGTCTTGTTTTGCTATATTTAAGAGTGCAGGTGGTTAGTTACAATTTAGGCACGTAAGGACAGTTATCCAGCCCTTTGAGAGTGCCCAAGCTCATGCTGCGCTCCCCAGGGCCGGCACGGACGCCCCGCGCCCGGCATCACCCCGTAGCAGAGGAGCCGGAGCGGCCGCCGGGATGGGAGTGGCACCTTCTGTGGGATTAGCTGTGCGAGTCCTTTGTAGTAATGTCACCCGCGCCAGCGGGAGCCACAAAGCTATAAAAAAGTCAGTTGCTGACAGGCATCATCTACAGGATTGCTTCTGACTTGGTTAAAATTTAAAAATAATAACACGTATCTTGCTGCCCAAAACAGAGCATGCAGTCCTGAACAAAGCACGATGCCAGCTACACTGGGGAAGCACACACATGCTGAGAATATCTGCTGAGGGAGCAGCAGCGGCATTCGCACGTACAGGCTCACTGCAATACACGGAGCCGCACAATAGCTCCTCAGGCTTTTTTTTAAAACAGACTCAAATCTCTCAAAGTGACAAACAATTAAGCATCTATTCGAGTGTCATGGTGCAGCCAGGGGTCACCGGCCTGCTGGGGTTATAAATCAAATTAAGATGAAATGAGTATTTATGATCTAGAACAAATCCCCAGCACTAAGATCCCCTAGGCTCTGTTTCTATTGCAGGCTTCACCTCTTCAGGCACCAGCTACGACAGTTGAGCTGGGGCTTGAAGGCGTTCTGAGAAAAATAAAAAACAAAAAGTTTAATTCTGGGTGTAACCCGACCCTTTGCAGCAGGGACACAAAACCGCTCCTATCTGGGTGATGATCCAGCCGCTCCCGCAGTTCTTCCCTAAGGACGAGCTAAGGCGGAAAGGGCTTGGAGCGCGTGCCCCGGGAGAGGCACGGAGCCCCGGGGCGCCAGGGCAGGAGGCTCCGCACGCCGGCGGTGTCCGGGGAGAGCTCTGCGGGCACCGCGACCGGCAATGCCCACGCTGCCGAACCAAGGTCACCCGGGTTTTGTTCTGCTGCTTCGGAGGGAGCCGCGCTCAAGCGCTCGGCTATAAAATATTAACGCTGGATGACGGCGCAACACCACCGCCACCGCCCAGCGCTGCCCAGCGCCCCCAGGCCACAGCCCCGCCCCTGCACCAGCCCCGGCAGCGC